CGGGGGGTCCGAGCGCAAGCCCGACGATCCTGACTTCTCCGAGGACTTCCGGCGGAGGGTCCGATACTTGCACGCTGACTTCGGACGTGGGCCAGGTCTACTTTCTGATGTTCCGCCTGCGAGTCTCGCGGGAGACTTGGGCGGCGCCACGGGCGCCGCCCTCCTCGAACGTATCATTCCGAGAGGACTGTTGCGGCGGACATCTTGCATTTCCAGATGTATCAAAGTGGCCCCAGTTTTCAACGCCGCAGACCACGGAACGCACCCCCACTCCGCCTCCATTTCGCCTGGAGTTACGTCTCAGGATGTTTGGTCGTCTTTCAGCCGAATGGATCAGGTTTTGCGGCGCGCCCGAGGTTCTCTGCGACGGCGGGTCCGAGTTCGCCGGGTCTTTCGCCGGGGGCTCAGGGCATGTCGGATTTCCCCCGCCTCGCGAAGCCCGAGGCCTCTCGCGAGAATGGGGGACGCAAGCGACGCCGAAAGCCAATCAACCAGGCCTTTCGAAGGCCTCTCGCAAGGCCCACCCCGCCGCCGACGAGGAAATGGGAGGCCCGTTTCGTCGCGCCGTCGCCATGCAGTGTCGATCAAAAACAGGTGCGCCGACGGGGGCGAATTTCCCCGTCTCAGCCCGCGTTCGGAGAGAATCCGCGATTACCGAGGCCCTTGATCTCCGACGACGAACCCGGCGAAATTCGCGCGGACTACGCGGCCCGAGGCTCGTCCGACGGCGACAGGGTCTCTGCCGCTCTCGTCGGGAAGCGCACCTTTCGAAAGGTCGCCAAGATATCCATGGCGTCGCGGGGCGTGGCCGGCCGGCCCCGGTTGGCCGTCCGCGCTCGGGGACGCATCGGTCGCAGCGATTTCCCAGGCGCGCGGGGGCGCGCTTGGAGGAGAGCCAGCCAACGAACTCTTGGGAGAAACTCCAGAAAGGAGCTGGCTGGTCTTGGGATCGCCGTTTTCCCAAATCACCCCCCCGCTTCCGGCGCTGCCGCGAGGGCGCGAGGGCCGACCTATCCGAGAGGGCCAGGTCCGACCCGGCATTGCAGGGGAGTCTCCAAGAAGCGAGCTTTGGGACTCTCTGGCCTTTGACAGACTTAGGCATGAGCCGGCTTCTCCCGGACGTCGCGTCGGCGCCGTGGACGCGCAGTCCGAGCGAGGGGCCGCCGCCCCCTCCCACCTCCCGATGTCCAGACTGCAGGCGCCAAGCAGTCCGGCGATTTTAATTGCGCGGTTTCTCCTTCTGCCCTTCCCTCTAGACGGGGGCTTGAGGTGGCAGAGAAACAATCAGTGGACACTCCCCCGCCCCCCCCCCACAAATCAGAGCTGGCGCGCGCGGGGAAGGCTTCGGTCGAAGTGCAACTCGTTCAACCCACCGCCGACACTGACCATATGGGGGGGCTTTGACATACGAATGTGGCATGAGTGGGCTGTTCGATTTGGCCGACGCCAAGGAAGGCGGATCCACTCCTGGCCCAGTAGCTGCATGAGTGGCCCCAGCTGCCGACGCTGCCCAAGTGAGGAGAAGGTGCTCAAATTGAATTCTGGGGCCCCCACGATCCGACAGTTCAAGCCACGGAAGTGACTTGGGACAGAACTGCGCGCAAAATCACGCTGGTGCGTCCAGGGACACCAGGGCGCAGACTCAGAAGAACTTTGCGCGTACGCACCGACACCTCAGAGCGAGGCTGTTTTGCTCACGCCGCAGCGCGTGGCTTCCTTAGGCTGGGGGGCCTGGGATAGCTGACTGCAAAAACGTGCTTTGCCAGAACAATCGTTTGCAGGGCACGACGGGCGTCATATGTGGCTAATTATGTCATGTTTTGAATCTCGCCCATTGGGAGTTGGCGGAGCTGATAGCTCCAGTCGATGGCCTGAATGACGCACCT